CCCCAAACAGGGTAGGGCTGAACATCTGGCTGAACCAGCTTTGCAGCTTGCATCCTCCTCCTACCCCAGTTCCTGCCTTCCCAGCTGTGAGTCTGTGCTTAAGTCCCTCTCCTCATTCTCTGTCCCTAGTTCTCACAGCTGGTGAACAGTGATGTGGCCCTGCTGGGTGGAGGCCCCTATGTGCTCTGCACGGATGGGCAACAGTTGTTACGACAGGTCTTGCATCCTGAGGCCTCCAGGAAGGTATGCCTGTGGGCACATGGCGGTCGGGCTCCCAAGGCTCCCATTATAGTCGGGGCAGGCAGGACTCCTCATTTCCCTCATTCATCCCCACTCCCATGTACCCCCAGAATCTGGTGCTCCCCGACACCTTCTTCTCCTTCTACGACCTCCGCAGAGAGTTCCATATGCAGCACCTGAGCACTTGCTCTGCCAGAGACCTCACAGTGGCCAGCATGGCACAGGGTATCTGACCCACAAGGGTTAAGGTGGAGGGTGTGCATGCTGCTGGGTGGGGTATAGAAATAAAGGCAAGTCTGCATTGTCTGCTGAATCCTGGAGGGTGCCTGTGTCTGTCGAAGCTGGAATGCATTTGGAATGTGGGCATATGTCTGTGTGTCTAGGCTGGGGACCTGCATGTGCATGCATGGACTAGATGGATACAAATGTTTGTTTTCGGGGATTCTGCATGTGTCTCTGGAGGGGACTTGGTCGCAGTTAAGATCGTAATTAGTACTGGATGCCCCAGTACATCTTACACTGGGATTTCTTCATTGTCACTTCTCTACTCATAGACTTGGGATTAGAGACAGATGCCACAGAGGATGACTTTGGGGTTTGGGAAGTGAAAACAATGGTGGCTGTCATCCTCCACCTGCTTGAAGGACCCAGTGGTAAGGTTCCCTTACTGTCTGTCACCTGCTCTCAGGGTTGGGTGAATGCCTATTATTTCCTCAGTGTTTTTGCTCACTTGTGATTTCTCTAAAAGAACACAAAGCCCCTTTGTCACCTCATCCCCCTCAACTGTCCTCTTTTTGCAGAGCTTGGTGGGGAGACCTCCTCCACCAGACCCTGCTGACTCCCATGCCATCTCCTCTCAGGTCAACTGTTTTTGAAGCCCGAGGTGGTAAAGCAGAAATATGAGACGGGGCCTTGGTGAGTGTGGGAGCAGGGTTGGGGGTGACACAAGTTGGACAGTTCTGACCCTGTGTCCTGTCCCTGCAGCAGCAAGGCTGATGTGGTAGATAGTGAGACTGTGGTACGGGCCCGTGGGTTGCCCTGGCAGTCATCAGACCAGGATGTGGCACGCTTCTTCAGAGGGCTCAACATTGCCAGGTGGGTGTGGCAGGGTGGGAGGGCTGAGAGGGCAGGTCTGCCTAGGAGGTACTAACAGTGCTGGCTTTGTAGGGGTGGTGTAGCACTCTGCCTCAATGCCCAGGGCCGCAGAAACGGCGAGGCCCTGATCCGCTTCACAGACAGGGAGCAGCGGGATCTAGCCCTGCAAAGACACAAGCACCACATGGGTGTCCGCTATATTGAGGTGGGACTTCGGGCAGGGAGTGGAGCAGGGCAAAGCTGAGTCAGGCCAGAGACCCATGGGCTGTTCACTGTACCCACAGGTCTATAAAGCAACAGGGGAAGAGTTTGTGAAGATTGCAGGGGGTAAGTGTGCTGCGAGCAGTATCTAACTCTCCCTGCTTCTTTTATTTTTTTGTGTGGTTCTGGGGATTTCACTGAACTACATCCGAAACCGTTTTGAGACAGGGTCTTGCGAAGGTGCCTAGGCTGAGCTTAAACTTTTGACCCTCCTGCCTCAGCCTCAGAGTTGCTGGGATTATACACATGTGCACTATGCCTTGCTGTCTTCCCTCCTTCTTGACGGTTGTTCCATTCCCTGGCATCTCTGTCTTTCTGCTCTTGGGGTGGGGGTTGGAAGTGCACAAATGAAGTCAGATGATTCCCATGCCTCTCAACACAGGCACATCACTAGAGGTAGCTCGTTTCTTGTCACGGGAAGACCAAGTGATCCTAAGACTTCGGGGACTGCCCTTCTCAGCTGGGCCAACAGATGTGCTAAGCTTCCTGGGGCCAGAGTGCCCAGTGACTGGGGGTGCTGATGGACTGCTCTTTGTGCGCCACCCTGATGGCAGGCCAACTGGTGATGCCTTTGCCCTCTTTGCCTGTGAGGAGCTGGCACAGGCTGCACTGCGAAGGCACAAGGGCATGCTGGGTAAGCGGTACATTGAACTCTTCCGGAGCACTGCAGCTGAGGTGCAGCAGGTAAGTGCCCAGGTGCCCAGGGATCCCATCCTCTAGCGGGCTGTTTTCCTAGGCTATACTTTTGGTCACTTGTGTTGGTGCTACCTGATGTGACAGACCTGTTCTATTCCTTACTAGGTCCTGAACCGCTATGCATCCAGCCCACTTCTTCCCTCACTGACAGCTCCACTGCTGCCCATCCCTTTTCCACTGGCAGCTGGGACTGGGAGGGACTGTGTACGCCTTCGAGGCTTGCCCTACACAGCCACCATTGAAGATATCCTGAGCTTTCTAGGGGAGGCAGCAGCAGACATCCAGCCCCATGGTGTACATATGGTACTCAACCAGCAGGTGAGGCTACTGCTAGGAGGGGTCACACGGGCAGGAAGGGGTGTGTTTGAGCAAGGCACTCTTCCACACCACAGAGTGTTTATAAGATGGTGTGCACAGGGCCGGCTATCTGGCGATGCCTTCATCCAGATGACATCGGCAGAGCGGGCCCTAGCAGCTGCTCAGCGTTGCCACAAGAAGATGATGAAGGAACGCTATGTGGAGGTGGTGCCCTGTTCTACAGAGGAGATGAGCCGTGTGCTGATGGGAGGAACCTTGAGCCGCAGTGGCATGTCCCCTCCGCCCTGCAAGCTGCCCTGTGAGCGCCTCAGGGTCTAGAGGAAGACATGGTGGGGGCTAGGCTACAGATGAGGACTCATTTCTAACTGCCCTACCAGGGCCTACTGGGCTCCATGCAGATGCACTTTCTACTTGTCTCTAGGCCTCTCACCACCCACCTATGGCACCTTCCAGCCCACCTCAGCCCTCATTCCCACTGAGACGGCAGCTCTGTATCCCACTTCAGCACTGTTCCCAGCTGCCAGGGTGTCTGCTGCCTCCACCCCTGTTGCCTACTACCCAGGGCCAGCCACTCAACTCTACATGAACTACACAGCCTACTACCCCAGGTATTCTGCTACAACTCCAGAGCCGCTGCCCATATGGGGTGGGATGGGGGCATAAGTCCTTTCTGGGCCAGATAACCTAAGGTCTACTGGACTCTTCTGCCTCTGCCTCCTGAGTGCTGGGATTACAGGCGTGCACCATCATGCCCGGCTTCTATTGGACTTTTACTCTGATAGGACAAAGAAGGGACAGGTGTTGGTTGGCTAATGCTAGCTACAAAATAGATTGGAAATGATGGTATAGAGGCCAGGCGTTTTAGGAAGGAAGAATTAAGCACAAGGTAGAGAGTGAAGAGATCTTGATCTGAGCTGTAAGTAGGATGTACTACTAAACCCCTCTTTCAATCCTAGCCCCCCAGTCTCTCCTACCACCGTGGGCTACCTTGCCACACCCCCTACTGCCCTGGGCTCTACTTCCACGTCAATGTTATCTCAGCCGGGAGCCCTGATCCGAATGCAGGGAGTCCCATACACAGCTGGCATAAAGGATCTGCTCAGTGTCTTCCAGGCCTACCAGGTGAGGTTGGATGGCTGGAGGGTTTGAGGACCTGGGTGACTCTAGAGCTCCTGTCCTAAATCTATGTCCCTTTTGCAGCTAGCCCCCGATGATTACACTACTCTGATGCCGGTTGGTGATCCACCTCGTCCTGTGTTACAAGCCCCCAAGGAGTGGGTGTGTTTGTAGGTGAGGAAGCCACAAACTAAGAGCTAGCTGATGTCTTCAGCTACCATACTTTTCCTGCATCCAGAGTATCTTCACTCCAGTGGCTTCTTTCTGGCTTGTCAAAGCTCTCAGAAGGCACCCAGAGAAGATCAAGCCCAGCACCATCCTCTAAGTATTCACTGCTTAATCTCTGCTTATTCACCCCAAAGATGACTACTCTGAAGGCAGGGCGGGGATGGAATGGGGATATCTTGTTCCCAGCAGCATGACTGGGCCTATTGAGTAGCACCTGGACAGCCTTTGATTTGTCCTGCTTAGGCCTTTACCTATGTGAGCCTTACAGGCTATCTAAATCCTGGTGCCTTCAATGTGTGACTCCCATAGAATCAGGGTCCAAGTCTGAGTAAGTATCACAATAATCTCTTCCCCATCCCCTCCTGTAGGAGTTAGGAGGGCAGAGGCAGTTCCTGTGCTCAGGACACTTAGATTTCAGAGACCATATTGTAACAGGTGGCCTCACCTAAGGATGCAGCCCCACTCCAACCAGGCCCAAGAAACACCCAAGTGGCAAAACCACAAAGTATTCTGGACTATGCTGCAGAATTGTCAGAGAACACTAGGGGGCAGGAGGACCCCACACGAAAACTCAGGCTTGAATTTTTAAAGAAAATTTTCTGCTAGCTTTTTTTTCCCCTTTCCTTTTTTGTGCTGGGTATTGAACCCAGGACCTGCTACATACTAGTCAGCTGCTCACTGCGCAACATCCCCAGTCCTTTTTAAGAAAGGATCTTGGTAGGTTGTCTGCATTGCCCTTGAATTTGTCGTTTTGCCTCAGCATCTCCAGTAGCTGGGATTACAGGCAAGCCCCACAGCCCAGCTTTTCTGCCAACTTCTTGCAACTCCTTGGGAATGCCAGTTCAGCAAACACCATGGAATGTCCATTATACCCATTAAAGGGTGCAGAACTCAAGCCTTAAGAATTTGAAACTACTCTCCAGTGTAAAATGAACAAAACTTCCTGACCAAGTGGACTTTTAAAAAGCCACAGAACCCTTAGCTTTGGCCCGTGAGTGAAGGGCTCCACACTAGCCTCAGGTGGAGAAAAACTCAGATTTCATGGAGACTGTTGATCTGTCACTGTTTATTATTTCAGCAGTATAATCGAGGAGCTTGAACAGCTGCCTCTTCCTTTTGTATTTGTGTAAGGAGCACTGAACTTCTATAAAAGGTTTTAAAATATAAAATGTACAAGAAAACACAATCTCAAGTGCTGTAAACATAACTGAAAACCAGTTTCTTTACTAAACATCCATTTTATAAAATACGAGGTTTCAACTTGTGCCTTTAAGATGACCATCTGTTCTAAATGTCACAAACAGCTTCATGGCCAGGCCCAGCAGAGGTCTGGTGATAATGGCTGGCCCTGGGTGGGGTGGGATGGACCCTGGGCAGCAGTACCACATGCAAACTCGACATCTGTTCCTTTTAAAGCTATTTTCAGCCATATTCCTCTGTATATCTCTAGTAAGCAGAAGGCTGCTTGTTCCATTTCCCATATAGCACAGGTCTGAGAGGGAAGGGTGTGTGCTACTATATGCCCAATTGCTGTGCTGCTACTAGAAATCAATTTGCATAGTCCAATGAATGTGTGCTTTAATACCACTCTGTTGCACAAAAATTTAACTTTTTATCTACAAAGCCAAAAAATATTGACTCTTACATGAAAGCTTTTACAAAGCTAATATAAAACTGCTTACATAGTATACAAAGCTCTATTTTAAAATTTAACTTTTATTTTAAATAGGAAAGCATTTCTAGTGCTACAGGCATCAAGGTATTTAAAAGGCATCAAAATTTGGTGCATAGCAACTCTGGATCATAGAGGCTTTTATTCTTGAGGGCAGCAAAGTAGCCCCTAGAGGGTTTTGCAAGACCCTATGTGAGGCAGCTACCCCAGGGACAAGAGGATAGAAGCAATTCTGGCCATGTCTCTGGAACTTTACCTGAGAGGCCAACCTCCTACCTTTCCAAAGGAAGCTGTGGACTTCCAACCAAGGCCTTGACGCAAATCTGACTATCCACATTCAGATACATAATCCACTTCCAAAGAAAATTTAAAACACATCTTTAAGAGAGGCCATAGTGATTTGTTGAATGATAAGACACTGTTCTCTATTTTTATGGGAGAAATTTAAAATGGCTTAAAAAAAAAAAAAAAAAAAGGCCATACTTCACACAGGATCAGCAGCTCCTACCTGGCTGATTAGAGGTGGTGACTAACATACCAGCTCTTTGCTCAGGCCTGACTTGACCTCAGTAAAGAATGTCCTGGTACCCAGGGCTACAATCCATCAAGTCTTCAACCAGCCCAACACACTGTCTCAGGTGTAGGCACTCAAAAAATTTGCTTTTTGAATAAAGTATATTATTTCATTTAAAAATGTGTACTACAAATGTCAGGGCTTTTGAAATAGGCCTGGAGATGAGTAACAAATCCCACTGGAGGCAGGCTTAAGGGCAGGATTTGGAAAAAGTGCCCAACCTGGGCACCTCCTTTGGTAGATAGCAGACTGGAGTTTCTGCTGGCCCCTGCCTTGGATGCCAGTCAGCAGCAGCACCAGGGCATCTTTGGTGTGGAGGGTAATGTCTATGATGCCACCTCATTTTAGACATGCCTCAATGTCTTCTGAAAAGGCTGGTTTTCAGGTCATCCACATGGGACAGGGTAGGCCAGAATGATTTCAAGCTGTAAACAGAATGGGAGATATGCTTTCCCATCTGGCATTCTGCATTTTCTCTGCCCATCCTGATGCATAGCTCATTTGTGTTTAGCTCCTGACACAGCTAGGTTGGCCTCTAGAATAGTTACAACTGCAACTGTTATAACTGAGCCATCAGGAGGCTGGCTTCAAAGGTAACAGAACCTGCAAAGGCAGATGTTCCCACTTGGAAAAGTATCTGGGGCCAGATAACACAAATAGAAAGAGCACTAGTTTTTAGGATGGTAAAAACATGGAAGTTTCCAAGCTAAAACTGCGTGGTGACTGCTTTCAAAGTCACCTTGCAAGTAGCCATTTTACCTATAATCCTGAAGGAAAAAAAGCAGTTTCAATATGGAGCCAGTAAGGAGAGACTGCAGGAAGAAGACCTAGAAAGTTATAAAATGGCTATGCTCTGGAATGTCTTTATATTCCAACACTTCAATGATGGAATGGTCTCTTGTCATTTTATCTAGCAACAATTTACTTTTTTTTTTTGTCTTTTTCTTTTTTATTGGTACCGGGGATCAAACTCACGACTGCATACTTGCAAGGCAGACGCTTATGCCGCTGAGCTAAATCCCCAGCCCCAACAATTTATAAAGAGTATGAGCTACATTTGGCTTTCTTTCCTATGAATCTATCTATGGCTTCAGGACACATGCTGAGTTTCTGAGGCATAGTAATGGGCTTAGGATAATTTTTTTTCCCATTTACCTCTGGAAGGTTTTATCAAAAGTTCCTATTTTTAAAGTATCAAAACTAAAGGGCCCTTCAAATGACCAGAAAATACAAATCACCAATCCCAGCTACACAACCAAGTCATCTGCAAAAGCAGCAGCTCTGAAAAGGAAAGCTTGCTGCATTCACACTCAAAGCACCCATCATATAAAAGTATCCTATTTAAATATAAAAAATGCAAAGCTCATTTTTCCACAGCCCATGCTGCTCTGATTCTTTTACAAAATCTAACCAAGGCCAGAGGTGGAGGAATGCCACTCTCTACAAATGCTGAGTCCAACCCTTGGCACCAGTCCTGAAGGTGAAAAGAGTTGGAAACTCGAGGTCCAAATGAGAAACATGCTGAGAAGTTGGTGAACACAAGGCTGCAGTAAGCACTGTCAGAGCCGGTCAGATCTTCCTCAATCCAGGGACTCAGGACCCAGGTGAGGAGCTTCTCTGCTAATCCTTGGGCCTTGGGAAACAGAAACCTGGGACATATCTCTCCCAATTATCTCGTTCACTGAAAAAGAAAAAAAAGGCAGAGTGGTTAGTGATCTCTGAGTGATACCATATGATCTATGCTGAGCTTTCTATTATTTGTACCCCTTGGCTTTTGGAAAAGGTAAAGGCAGCACTTGAAACTTGCTCCATAGCTCAGTGGCCTTCAAGACCAGTATCATTTGCCAAGAGGTTCTAGACTCCTTTCTCTCCCTCCCAATTCAGTTTGGCTGGGAAGAGGAATGGCTGAGAGAATAGGAAACTTCATTCATTCATTGAGACAGGGTCTTGCTATGTAGTTCAGGCTGGGCTTGAACTGGTGGCAATCTTTTTGCTTCAGCCTTTGGAGTGCTGGGATTACAGTGGTGTATCACCATGCCTGGCTTTTCTTTTTTAAAGGTTCTGGGGATTGAATTTAACACCTGATCACGAAGTTATACCCCTGGTCCTTTATTTTTCACTTTGAAACAAGGTCTTGCTAAGAGGCTGAATTGCCCAGGCTGGGCTCAAACTTGTGATCTTCCTCAGCCTTCCAGAGTGATGGAATCATAGACATGCAAGCCACCCTCCTTGGATTTTTTTTTTTTTTTTGAGATGGTGATTTCAGGCTAACCTTGATCTCAGGGTCTTGAGGTAGCTGTGATTACATGCATCATGCATGTTGGCAGAACAGAACAGAACAGAAAACATCCCTATCTTTACTCCAAAGGCTCATGCTCTACAACAGAACACAGGATACCTTTCAAGTAAAGTGTCTCTCTCAACCTAGCTTTTTCTTAATCTGAATTCCTTTGGAAAAGTTTTCTGGTTCCCATAGTGCCACCCTCTATATAAAGCAGATGAACATAAAAGATTTGACCAGAGCAAACCAGAGATTTGGGGGCTGTTTTGTTTTCCTATTCCAATAGGAGTACCCTTTATGCTTTATGATGTAGGGACATTTGCTTGTGGTCCTTTCCTCTGTGTGTGTGTGTGTGTGTGTGTGTGTGTGTGTGTGTGTCCGTCCTTTGTGACTGCATGCTCTTTCTGGTGATTTCTCTGATGCACTAAGTAATTCAGGGAGAATAATTCTCTGTGACACCCAGTGCAAAGAATTTCCATCTTTAGGAACCAATAAAGAAGGGAAAGAAAATCTCTGCTCTCCCAAATAATTGTTTCTTGTTTTTCAAGTAAAAATGTTATACTAATTTCACTCCTGGCTATATACACAATAACTAGCTGTGATGGTGACACACACCTGTAACATTCAACACTCAGGAGGTTGAGGAGGGATTGCCATGAATTTAAGGTTGGCCTGGGCTACACAGCAAGGCCTTGTCTCAAAAAACTAAAGGTATGCAAGGCAATGAAAGATGAAGATACAACTTGACTGTGGTTGGTACTGAATGTATATGAAGGTAGGAACCAGAAGCCAGATGGATCATTACAAGAATGAAGATTAATCAATGCTGGACAATAATCATCCATAAACCAGTTTTAAAGTAGTCAATACAGATATATGAAGACCTTTGTCAAATCACTTTTAAGCAAATTTTTGAGGTTAAACATTTATTGTCCATAAAAAAAAATTTATTGATCATTCATGATAATTGTTTACAAAGAATATAACCTGATTTTACTCCTGGCTAACTAAAACAACCACTGGAATAGTTTATATAAATGGAAAGTTATGAGGAAGCTTTGGAAAAAAAATGTGTTTTTCTTTTCAGTTTCCTCATCAATATAATTTGGGAAAACTTCCTACAGAGTATAATGTGAAAATATAAAGGGCATAAGTAAGCCAGGTAACTGTTGATACCTATTATTCCAAACTGAATAATATGCAAGAAGTATTTTTTTTTTTTTTTTTTGTCTTTTTCATTTTTTATCTGTACCAGTGATTGAACTCACGACCACCTGCTTGCAAGGCAGGTACTTATGCCACTGAGCTAAATCCCCAGTCCCCTTAAGAAGTATTTTCAATGTGGCTTTCCAAAGGATTTGTGGCTAGCTAGGCTAGTCTGGTAATAATCCATAATCTCCTGACCTCTAATATTCTTTTTTTTTGGGGGGGTACTGGGGATCGAACTCACGACCTTGTGCTTGCAAGGCAGGCGCTTCCGCCGCTGACCTAAATCCACGGCCCCCTCTAACATTCTTTAACACATTAAATTATCAGTAAATTATCTGGGCTTGGTGGCATGTACCTATAATCCCAGCGTCCTGGCTGGGATGCTGAGGGAGAAGGATCACTGTAAGTTCAAGGCCAATTTTGACGATAAAGTGAGGCCTTATCTCAAAAAACAAAAACCTATTAGTAGACATCACCATCTCTGGTTTCCAAAGAATTGTGAAATCCAGAAAGGCAAGGACATTACTACTGAGAAAACATTAATTTATGAAGACTGGACCTGGAATCTCTAACCCTACTACTTGGAAAGGTGAAATGGGAAGATGCTGAGTTCAAGTGCAGCCTGGGCAACACAGCAAGATGCCATCTCAATAATAATTATTTTTTTCTCAATAATTTAAAAAAAAATTTTGATGACTGAATAAATGGATCCTAATTTTACAGAATTACTTGGAAGCTATTTGGAACTTGTAAAGTAAGTTTATTAGGTATTAGGTAGGAAGGAGACCAGAGAATGTTATAAGACTAACACATGGCATCTGATTTTGCCAATGTCTATTTTAGGTAAGCTTTACAGCAGGGGAAAAAAGCCAAAAATATAACCAAGCATCCAACTCATATTCAAGTCATCTTCTGTGATCACATATCCCTTCCAAGGGATATGTGATTAGAAATATTTAGGCAGCCATGAAACACACGTTTTCCATTAATATTTTACTGTTCAAATTTTAAAACAAACTGGTAAGGGCTGGGGATTAGGTTTAGCAGCATAAGCACCTGCCTGGCAAGTACAAGGTCGTGAGTTCAATTCCTGGTACCAAAAACAAAAAACAAGCTGATAGAAAATAAAATGGTGCTTTATCACCACAAATCACACAATGAGTTTTCCTGGCTTTTTTTTTTTTTTTTTTTTTTTTTTGAGACAAGAAGTTGTTGTTGTGTAATTCAGGCCGGTCTTTAACTAGTGACCATCCTCCTGCCTCAGGCTCCTCAATGCTGGGATTACATGGTGGTGGCATGCCTGAATTTTTTTTTAAAACAGTCTTGGTATGTAGTCAATACCAGTGCTAACAAGTTATACAGGTCACAGCATCTGACAGCTGTTGTCTTTAAATACTTCCTACTCCAACATCTGGGCTTGGCTGTTACCACAACAAAAGTAGAATTGGAACTACCAGCAATATTTGCTGTTAAAAAATTGAATTTTTGGGTGTGGTGTGGTGAAGCACACTTGTAATACCAACATTTGGGGGGCTGAGGCAGGAGGATCCTTTCAAACAGTCAGAGCTATAGAGTGAGCTCAAGGCCAGTCTGTTGGAATGTTATTTCTGGACGTAAGAATGAGATGTTTCAGCTGGGAGGGTGGCACAGGCCTGTAATTCCAGCACTGAGGCAGGAGGATTGCCATGAGTTTAAGGCCAGCCAAGGAAACACTGTAAGACGCTGCATTAAAAAAAAAGTTTGAGGCCAGTCTGGGCTGTCCTGAGTTGAAGGTCAGCCCGACATATATAGCAAGACCCTATCTCTCACAAAACAAAACAAAGCAGGTAAAATTAATTCTGTGCATAAACAATTTTTTTTTATACCGGCACCAGGGATTGAACTCAGGACCACGCACTTGCAAGGCAGGTGCTTATGCAACTGAGCTAAATCCCCAGCCCCTGCATAAACCATTTTATGAGGATATTCTTTTTTATAAAATGAAAGCTATATGCAGGTACAATTATTTTCTGAGTTTCACTAGAAATGAAAAGAAAAATTTACAATGGAAAGAAATACTAACTAAATGACTTAAAATTTTTTTCTTGCTACGTAGTTCAAACTGGGCTTAACTCACTGTATATCCCAAACTGGCCTTGAACTCAAGGCAATCCCTCCTGCCTTAACGTTGAGTGCAGCGATTCCAGATCTACAGCATCCCACCTCCCCTACTCTGTGATTTTTTTTTTTTTGTACTAGGATCCCCTGCTTGCCAGGCAATTATTTTTTTATTTTTTTTGTCTTTTTGAGACAGGGTCTCACTATGCAGTTCATAGTGAGCCTTGAGCTTACTTTGTAGCCCTAACTGGTCTTGAATTCACAAAGATTCTCCTGTCTCAGCCTCCTGAGTGCTGGGATTATAGGCGTACCCCACCATGCCTGGCTTTTCAAGCAATGATTTTTTTTGGTAAGAGGGATTGAACTCATGACTTCACACTTGCCAGGTAAGCAGGCAGTGTTTGTTTGGTTTTTTTTTTTGGATACCAGGGATTGAACTCATGACCTCATGCTCACTTATGCTGCTGAGCTAAGTCCCTGGCCCCAGGTAGTGATTTTTAAATGGATGAGAAATCTAGTATTACCTTATGGTTTGTTACTCTAATGTAGTTTTGCTAAGATTTAGCTTTAAGTTATTTGATAAGTTTTAATACCATGTTAAATACATGAAACATTGAATTGACCTACTTATGCAAGAGTGGATGAATTAATTTGCATTTATCAAAATCTGACTGATTTGCCTTCTCAAAATGAGCACAGAAATAGTAATAAGAACAGTGGGAGTAATTGTCATTGTACAAAATGTGTAATTGTAATTGTACTAAAGAGAGAAAAAGAAAGTACTCTAAAGGACATAACTGCATGTATATTTAAGTGTATAAGATAAGTAACCATATTACTGAGTTTTATTGGATCATTGAACAGAACTGTTTGCAGTCTCACTGTTTGAATGTCTACTCTATATGCTTTAATTTCGTAACTTGAATAACTATTTCTAAGATGACATATGTAATCTATTAACTAGTGATTTCCTACTGTTTAATTTTTTTCTAATTCTGTATAACTTGTACCCTTTTCTGTTTTTTTTTTTCTTTGTTCTCCTTAAATAAAATATAAAAAAAAAAGAAAAAAAATAAGGACAGAAATAAGTTCTTGAAATTTAAAAGAGAGTCAGGGATATAGCTCAGCAGCACGGCACCTGCCTGGCAAGCACAAGGTTGTAATTTCATTCCCGGCACCAAAAAATAAAGAAATCTATGGTTAAGAAAAAAGTCAGACTAATGTCTCAATTCATTCTTTTCTCAAGGAACTGGGTTTAACTAGTCACACACTTATATTTCCCAGCTTCTTTTAATTAGGTATGGCCGGTGAAATTTCTCTGGGCATCAAACTCATGAGCAGGCAGGCATTTATATTACTGAGCTAAATCCCCGGCCTCCATGTATAACTTCTTTACTTGGTTGAAATCTCTCTTCCTCATCGTCCCCCCACTCCTTACTTTAAGCTAAGACTCAAAGTGGTGACTCCACTTTGACAAAACATAGGAGAAAGAGAAACAATAAACTGAAATGAAGCCTGATTTCAGCTAAAAGAGGTACTGATGTAATTAAGCTACCATACTTTAGAGTTTCCATTTTACTAGTTTAGCCTGTATTAATAAAAACAAAACAACATCATAATGGTAACACATATAAAGAATATTTAGGTATACCAGCAAGATAACTATTTGAACTCTTTTATGCCAGGTATATTTTTATTTTTTTCAGTACTAGGAATTGTTTTTTTTTTTTTTTTGTCTTTTTCTTTTTTATCGGTACCAGGGATCAAACTCACAACCGCACATTTGCAAGGCAGACGCTTATGCCGCTGAGCTAAATCCCCAGCCCCCAGTATTAGGAATTGAATCCAGGGCATTTGCACTGAACTATGTCCCCAACCTTTTAATTATTTTTTTCCCCTTTAGTTTTTGTCAGGGTCTTACCCTAATCATTAAATTGTCCATGTTGGATTTGAATTTGCAATTTTGCCTCAGCCTCCTAGAATGCTAGGATTACAGACAATGTGCCAATACATCCATCATGCCAGACATTTTACTAATTAATTTATATTTTTCAGATGGCACATTTGCAAGGTTTGGTGGTGCAAGCCTGTAATCCCATCACTCGGGAGGCTGGGGCAGGATCCCTGTAAGTTTGAGGTTAAGACTGGGCTACAAAGTGAGTTCAAGACCAGCCTGAGTTGCATAGCAAAACTCTTATCTCAAAAAGTAAAAAAAAAAAAAAATTTAAATGGCATCTTGCTTGCTACATTACCCAGGATGACCGTGAACTACTGGTATCAGCTAGTCCTTCTGCCACAGACTCCTTAGTAGCTGAGACTATAGTCATGTGCCACCACACACAGCGCTTTCACTGCTATAAAACCTAGGGCAAGCAATCTACCACTGAACCCTTATTTTGAATTTCACTCTGTGAACTCTAGAAAGATTCCAATCATAAATCAGATTAAAAATACATACATATTGCTAGGTGTGGTGGTGCATGTCTATAATCCCAGCACTGGGAAAGTTGAATTTGAGACCAGCCAGGGCTGCAAAATGAGCTCAAGGCCAGCCTGAACCGCATAGTGAGACTCTGTCTCAAAAAAAAAAAAAAAAAAAAAAAAAAAGTGTGTATATGTACACAAGGTGGGTGTGTACTCCTTTAATTTCAGCACTCAAGAGGCTAAGGCATCAGGATCCTTGTGAATTTGAGGCCAGCATGAGCTACACAGTGAATTCAGGGCCAGCCTGAAATAGCAACAGGTATCTCAAAAACCAAAGCAAACAATAAAAAAAATATACATACACAATGATCAGAAGATAACCTTCACTTTTTTTTGGTATTGGGAATTGAACACAGGAATTTTATAATAAGGTACATCTCCAGCCTTTTATTTATTTATTTTTACTTTTGAGACAAGGTTTTACTAATTTGTCCAGGCTACATTCAAACTTGTGATCTTTCTGCCTCAGCCTCTCAGTGCTGGGATTATAGGAATGTGCCACCAAGCTTAACCACAATTTTCACTTTTAATATTAGGTCTAATGCCAGTGAAAGGATAATGCAACACACCCAATTAAGCCAATTAAGGGGCACATCAATACTGTTAAGATTTTCTTTTTACGAAACTTTTTTTTTGAAACTTGTGATGTGTGATGCTATACAGATCTTTTAAAAGTTTATAACAAAGCATTCACCAAATGTTAAACCTCCAGCTGAGTAACCAGTACACTTTTTGTTGTTGTTTTATTTTTGAGTCAGGGTCTCAACTGACCTGGTAGTCTTGCTTGGACTTGAACTTGCTTTGTAGGCCAGCCTGGCCTTAAACTCCTGGAAATCCTCCTTTCTTGGCCTCCCGAGTACTGAGATTACAGGCTTGCACCACCAAGCCTGGTTTGTTTGTGGTCTCTTATATGAGCAAAAACTGAAATGTGAAGCATTAACACTTCTTTTCAATTTGGGTTATGATATGGGATCCAGAAACCTCTACTTCCTCACCCTGTGCCAGGGGTTGAACCTACAGCTTGAGCATTCAGTTCCTTGGAAGCATCTGAAATTTCCAGAAGAATCAATCCCCCCACCCTTTTTTTCTCTGATGTATCTTGCCTACTGTTAGCACCCAAATCTATTATCACTAGGGGCCAAACTTAGCTCCAAAAATATTATAACTCATTCTATCATTTGTTCTCTGGATCCTTTTCATGACTTTGCTCCATCAATTTTGTTCACCTTAATCGGTCTCATCCAATGATGCATGCCTATAATACCATGTTCTGAGAGGGTGAGGTAGGAGGACCAAGTTCAAGCCCATCTGGGCAACTTGAAACCCTGTCTCAAAATCAAAAGAGCTGCGGATGCACATCAGTACAAAGGCCTTGGATTCAAGCCCTAGTCCTGGGGGCCAGGTCAGTCTCAATCTGCTTACCTCTTCTCATAGATCCTTCTCAACTGTGTTTAACATGGGTGAATTTTTCTGCTTCAGAGAAACAAGCAAGAAAACAAAAACATCACCTATCTTGCCCTATAGCTCTTTTTTTCATGGCTTAAACAGCATTTATTTATGTATTTATTTATTTATTTTTGAGGAGAGAGCTGAGATAAGGTCTTGTTATACAGTTTACCAAGCTGGTCTTGAATGAGTTATGTAGCCCACATTGGCCTATATAACCTGTGCTGGGAGGCAGAGGCAAGATTACAAGTTCAAGCTCACTCAGACTCAAAATAAATAAAAAGGGCTGAGAATGTAACTCACTGCAAAGGCCCTAGGTCAGTCTCTAGCATTAAAAAAAATTTTATTAGGGGCTGGGGATTTAGCTCAGTGGTGTAAGCACCTGCCTTGCAAGCAGGCGGTCGTGAGTTCGATCCCTGGTACCGATAAAAATGAAAAAGACAAAAAAAAAAAAAAAAAAAAAATTTAAAAAAAAAAAAATTTTATTTACACTGCTATTTCTATATTCTCACTTCGTATTCACCACACAGAAACAATTCTTTATTACCAAGATCATTAGTGAGTAGTTTGTTGCTTTACACATGGGAAGAGTAATGGGCTAAAGACTGAAAGAAGGGCCTCCTGGCAAGCTCAAGGTCATGAGTTTGATCCCTGGTACCAAAAAAACCCCAAAAAACCAAAAAAACCAAACAACAACAACAACAAAAAACCAAACAAAAAAACCCCCAAAAACTGAATAAGATTTTGTTTTTGGGCCGGGGCTATAGCTCAGCAGCACAGCACCTGCCGGGTAAAGTTCGATTCCTGGTTAAAAAAAAAAAAAAGATTTAGTGTTGGCTTGATTATGATGTGACCAAAAGGATTTATCTACTAATGTTTTTGGCAACTGATTTTTCTTACCTATGAGGAAAATCCTTTCTTCTGTTTTTGGTACTGGACACTGAACCTAGGACAACCTCACGCATGCTAGGTAAGTGCTCTACTACTCAGTTATAGCCCCCCCCCATTTTTTTTTTTGGTGTGGGGGATCGAACTCACAACCTTGTGTTTGCCAAATAGACACTTATGCCACTGAGCTAAACCCCCAAACCTTGGGAGTCCTTTTTGAGACTGGGTCATCATGTTAAATTGCACAGGCTGGGCTTGAAATCGTGATCCTGTTGTCTCAGCTTCCCATAGGTGTGCACCCACCACACCTGACATACTTTCATAAGTGACCAAGTCTTTGAAGAAAGGATCTAATGTGACAACAAGAAAATGTGTTCCTGATGAGCTGCCGAAAGTCCAGAGGTTTAAGGCCTACCTCTCTCCATCATAGACACTGATCCACTGCTACAGCTTTATTCCAAGAGGAGTCACAGGTAAACTACCAGGAGTGCAAACGTGGGCCTAGCATGCCTAGCATGTTAAAAATAAACATTCTGGCTTGCCTTTGAAAAGTGGATACAATTTCCTGTGCTATTTCCATTTCATACTGCCTTACATCAAAATTTAAAAGTACTTGATCAGAGTTGACAAGGCTTATATAACTGACCAGAAATCAAATGTACTCAGTACCTACACCATAGAGTTCAGATATACTGGACCTCTCTCTGCTCTGATTTTAAAAGATCTAAACACTTGCTTTTTAGTCAAATCCAGACTAAAATTTTAATAAGCCTTAGTGTGGTTAATATAAAAAGCAGAATCTTGTAGTCAAAGTGTAGCTCAAAGATAATGAGTGGGCCTCCCAGTAAGGTGCCTGTGCATACCCCCTCTTCTCTAGCACATGCAAATCCAGCCACTGCATGCAAATACCAGACGGGGGCACAAAAACAATGACACGTTTCAATCAACACTCACCCTCTAGATTCTCCAGAAAGGAGCTGGACATGAGAGATCACTGTGGGTAGGCCAGTTTTCTGCTGAACCTGATGGCTGGTGTTCCAAGTCAGACATAAACTGGTCTGTGTCAAAGAAGACAACATCACTACAGAATGGAACAAACCAGAGGGTGAACTTTATCTATTACAGTGCCCAGCCTGTTTTCAAGTGGACTTTAACTGTCCTTTACCTGTCAATTACTACTGCAGACCTCCACATTTTATTAGGTAATGTAGTATTGAAGTCCAGATAGTTTATCTTTATGGGGAGGGTACTGGGACTTAACTTCAGGACCTTGCATTTGCCAGGCAGGCACTTGTGCCACTAAACTATATCCCCAGCCTTTATTTGTATTTTTTAGGGTTTTGTTGAGACAGGATCTCATTATATATTACTATTATTATTATTATTATTATTATTATTATTAGTCTTTGAGAAAGGGTTTCACCATGCAATTTGGGCTTGCCTTGAACTCACTATGTAGCATACACTGGCCTCAAACTCACCGTGATCCTCCTGCCATAGCCTCCCAAGTACTAGATTATAGGCATGCCTTTCTTGCTTCTTAAAATTAAAAAAGGCAATTAAAAAACTATAGTTATGATTTTCAGGAATAAATTCAGTTTTAAATAAACTAATTTTGATTAGAGTAAAAATATAGTAGCTCCTAAAGCCACCTCCTTTGGCCATTAAGGAATTATCATTGGGTTTTGTTGTCCAACTTCAAACAAAAGAACCTGACTTTGGAGAGAAGAATATAGTTTGTACATAATGTCTGTAAACATTAATAATTAATATCCTCTTTTTTTTGAGCCAGGGTCTTGCCATTTAGTTCAGGGTGGTTCTGAACTCACTTTGTAGCACACACTGGTCTTGAACTCATAGTCATCCTCCTGCTTCAGCCTGAGTGCTGGAATTATAAGCGTGCACCACCACATCCAATTAAAACCCTCATCATTTTTTTTAAAACAAGTTCTTTTTTTTTGGAGATAAGTCCAGGCTGGCCTTGAACTTGTGGCAATCTTTTTGGCTCAGCCTCCCAAGAATGGGGATTACCAGAATGTACTACCATGCTTGGCTACTCTCATCTTTTTGATTAGTTTTTTTGAGATAGGGTCTTGCTATGTAGTCCAGGCTGGTCTTGAACTTTTGGAGATTCTCTTGCCTCAGCCTTGTGAATGCTGGGATTACAGGTGTGCAGCAGCACTACATCTGGCTAACCCTCATTTTAAGCAGACCAAAAACAAAACAAAACAAACAAACAAAAAAAAAGAAAAACAATTAAAGCAAAATAAAAAGCAATCAGTCTCTCGTTGGTGGGAGTGTAGACTGGTGCGACTATTATAGAAATCATTGTGGAGATTCCTCAAAAAACTAGCACTAGGTTCTACTGGACTCAGCTATGCCCCTTCTTGGTATCTTTCTGAAAGAATTAAAAACATCACACCCTAGTGATCATATGAACACCCATGTTTATAGTGGCAGTTTGTAGTAGCTAAATCATAGAAACTGCACGAAGGCCCATCAACCAATACCTGGATAAAGATGATGTTTTTAATACAATGGAGTACTACTCTGCCATAAAGAAGGATAAACTTGAGACATTTCAAGCTAAATAGTATACCTTGAGATTATGAAGTGAAATAAATCAGACATACATATATAAATACTCTATTATTTCTCTGGTGTGAGAAGCCAAAGTGTAAATAAGGACCAAAATGTATAACAGGTATTGGGAAATGGTAAGAAAATATACAAATGAGAAAATGAACAAGGGCAAGGGGAAGGAGAAAAGGAAAGATGGGACAAGGGAAAAAAGGCGAACAGAAGGAAAGAAATGGAACACAGCTTTTGTAAATAAGGTAGGGAAGTGGGGCTGAAGGGAGGAGAGTGGGAAATAAAAGAAGCAAAGTATATCATGTACATGTAAAATTTCCTATGATGAATGTTATCATGTATATCTAAAATGTACCAACTGCCAGGCGAGGTGGCATATATTTGTAATGTCAGCACTCGGGCGGCTGAGGCAGAAGGATTATTGTGAGTTTAGAGGTCAACCTGGGCTACAAAGTGAGCTCAAGGCCAGCCTGAACTAGATGGTGAGACCCTGCCTCAAAAAGACAAAGAAAAAAAGTACCAATAAAAAAATTAGTCAAATGGAAGTGTCAGGCATGGTGGCATACACCTGTAATTCCAGCACTCAGGAGGCTAAAGCAGTAGGATCACTGAATTTGATGTCAGTCTGGGCTACATAATGAGTCAGTTCAAGGCAAGCTTGAATTACAATGTGACCGTATCTCAAAACAAAAACAATCAATCAGGAAAAATATAGACTAAGGACAAACCTGATAGCTACCTGAAAAATATTTATTTACTTACTTACTTACTTACTCAACTTGAGACAGGGTCTCACTAATGTAGTGCAGGATGGCCTTGAACTCACGGTGATCCCCCTGCCTCAGAGTTCTGAGTGCTGAGACTAAAGGTGTGTACCACTACATCCAGCCCCAAAATTTTAATTACTCATTACTCTTACATTCCACCAAAATTAATTTCTGATGAATCAAAGATTTACAAAGTCACAAAAATAAAACAAAACCAAACCAACCAAACAAACGAAATTTAAATTACAAGAAACAAATAGAAGATTGTTAACAGGTTAAAAAATTTTCATAACAAAAGCTATAACACACTGGGAGGAAAAAAAATCTGTAACTCCTCTGTCAATGAGCTAATAAATTTAACAATGATTCTACAAATCAATGAAGATCGATAATCTGAAAAAACAAGCTAATCTACAGGACATACTCTTTTTTTTTTTTTTTTTTTTTTTTTGGCGAACTCTTGACCTCACACTTGCCAGGCAAGCACTTATGCCGCTGAGCTAAATTCCCAGCCCACATTTTTCTCTTAAGCATAGAAAAATGCACATAATCTTACTTATAAATCAAATGCAAATTACAAGCACACTGAGAAGCTATGCCCCACTGGGAAATAATAAGATATGATAACAGAGTAGAGTATGCTGGTGAAAGCATAGGATTCAGTAGAGGTGAACCTATGGCACAAGTTCCACAGCAGGCTGTCTGTTACCACTGAAAGCTCTAAAAGGTTTGGCATCAACGGTATAGGCTAAGAGGCATTCTCTTACAGTATGAGTGGCAATGTAAGACTTTCTTTTTAGTGTTTGAGACATAGTGTTGCTATATAATTAATTCAGGGTGGCCTTGAATTCAGTCCTGTGTCTAAATTGTGGTAATCCTCCTGCCTAGCCTGCAAGTGCTTGGATTACGAGCTTGTGTACCACCCAGCCCAGCTCGGGTGGCAATGTAAGTTGTGCAACCGTTATGAAGGAGAATTTGGCAATCTTTTTCAAAATACTGGTCTAGAAATCTAGGAATTTCTCTCCCTGTCTCTCTCTCTCTCTCCCTCCAACACACACACACACACACACACACACACACACACACACACACACACACACACACAGATATGCACGGTGGTAGTTGTATTCCTAGAACTTGGGATGTTGAAGCAGGAGGATCACTGTAAGATGAAGGCCAGCCTAAACTACAGCAATGAGACTTTGTCTCAAAAACTGAAACAACCCATCATAGATGTATAAAGGTGTAGACAGGTAGGAAATGACATACATAAAAACTGCAGATACTAGTACATCTATATGATGTAACATTTTAATTTCACACAATGGGATATCTTATAGAACACTTTGTGAACTATTTAAATAAAAATCCTTCAGGCTAGTAGTATAGCTCAAAGGCAGAACATGTGCTTAGCATGTATAGGTCTTGGGTTCAAAAACCCAGTATCATTGTCCCCCCAAAATAAATCTTTTAAGGAAGTTCTTTTAGGTTACAGTACAGCATAATTTGCTTTTCAAGACAGGGTCTTGTTATGTTAGTTCAGGCTGGCCTGGAACTTAGTATATAGCTCTGTCTGGGCTCAAACTCATAGTGATCCTTCTGCCTCAGCCTCCTGAGTGCTGAGATTATAGACGTATGCCACCATACTGAACCATAATTTCCAATATCCAATTAAGGCAAAAGGTACATATAGCTGTTTATAAGTGCATAAAATAGCTTTGGAGTAACATTCAAGATGTTGGTAATGCCAACTGTCCATATGGAGGACAGTTGAAGTACCTAGGGGAGAAAGTTTTCATTATATATTCTGTGCCTTTTCATTTTCAATCATATAAATATATTATTTATTTTAAATGATTATAAGAAACAAAAAAGTTTAAAATTCTAACTCTACACAAAATCATCTATACATACTTAAGCAATCAACTATAGCTATTTTAGTAACTACCAAACAAATACAAGACAATTCAAATTTCACACAGATTTGGGTTCAAATGTCAGTCCTAGTATTTATGGTCATATAACCCCATGAAAGTGCTTAGATTCTGAACCATGTCTACACAAATAAGGCTAAGAATTCACATTTTACATTGTCAGAATTAATGACCTACTAGCAAACAGTGCTCAATAAAATAGGTGCTTCATTATGAAAACAGTAACCAACTAGGCATGGTGGCATATGCCTGTAATTCTAACTAGTTAGGAGGCTAAGCCAGATGGATAGCCAAATTCCAGGTCCGCCTAGACAATTTAGTGAGACCCTGTTTCAAAAACTGAAAATGGTTGAGGAGATAGGAAAGCTCAGTGGTGAAAGCATCCCTGAGTTCAATCCCCAGTACAGAAAAAAAAGAAAGAAAAAAAAAGTAACTATCATTCATTATTTTTTAAGGTTATACTTTTCTTCTTTGGTACCAGGAATCGAACTCATGACCTTGTGCTTGCCAGGCAGACACTGTGCCACTGAGTGATATTCCTGGCCCTAAGCATACATTTTAAAGGAAATTTATTTTGAGGATTGGGGGGAGGTTGGTACTGGGAATCAACCTCACAACCTTGCACTTGCCAGACAGGCACTGTGCCACTGAGCTATATCCCCAGCCCTTTGAGGACTTTTTATATGCTGGTTATTTTATTTATTTTTGGTTTTTTGAGACAGGGTCACACTATGTAATTTAGGCTGGTCTCATATTTGCAGCTAGCCTCCTGAGTGCTGGGATCACAG